ATGATTGTTTTTTTTAACAAACGATATTTTCTACACTAAGGGAGATATGGTGGGCTTAGTCTCATAATGGGCTAGCAATAATGTGATTCAATCAATTTTTTATTAAATATTATTTTCTCTATTCTTAATGTAAATTCAATAAAATGTAGATGGAAATTGAAAGACCGATTTTATTATGTGAATTCAGCTACTTTGATTGGTGTGTGAAGCGTTTTTTCTAGCATGATCTAAGATTAATCATTTGCTTCAAATATTTGACTTTCCTTTTGTCAATTCACACATATAAATACATTTTAAAACGTGTAAGTCACGTGTAGCACACTATGATTCAAAAAAATGCCTTTTGCACTCGCGTGAGCACGTGCATGAAGGCTAGTATATATAGTACATTCATCAATATTAACCAAAAGTTACTATACCATAAAACGTTTGGTAAATTATTCAAACCAAAAACCTGGGTACATTCTTCAAAACCAAGAAAAATAATAATAATGAATATTAGGCTTAATAACATTAATAATTTTTTTTCGAATAACTTGACATGAATTGTCACATCCCGGCCCGGGGCAGACCACTTCCCGAGCCCGCTCCACCACCGCTTTGGGCCCCGACTACGCCCTCACGGTTTTGTTTCTGAGAACTCACACAAGAACTTCCCGATGGGTCACCCATCCTGGGAATGCTCTCGCGCGCTACTTGCTTAACTTCGGCCCGGCCCGGGGCCGACCATTTCCCGGGCCTACTCCACCACCGTAGCACGATATTGTCCGCTTTGGGCCCTGACTACACCCTCACGGTTTTGTTTCTGGGAACTCACACGAGAACTTCCCGATGGGTCACCCATCCTGGGAATGCTTTCACGCACTACTCGCTTAACTTCAGAGTTCCCATGGAACCCGAAGCCAGTGAGCTCCCAAAAGGCCTCGTGCTAGGTAGGGATGGGAATATACATTTAAGGATCACTTCCCTAGGCGATGTGGGATGTTACAATCCACCCCCCTTAGAGGCTCGACGTCCTCGTCAGCACACCACGGACAGGGTTAGGCTCTGATACCAAATTGTCACATCCCGGCCCAGGGCGGATCACTTCCCGGGCCCGCTCCACCACCGTAGCACGATATTGTCCGCTTTGGGCTTACCATTCCCTCACGGTTTTGTTTTTGGGAACTCACGAGCAACTTCCCAGTAGGTCACCCATCATGGGATTGCTCTAGCCCCCTTCTCGCTTAACTTCGGAGTTCCTATAGAACCCGAAGCCAGTGAGCTCCCAAAAGGCCTCGTGCTAGGTAGGGATGGGAATATACATTTAAGGATCACTCCCTTGGGCGATGTGGGATGTTACATGAATACATTTTCAAATCAACGAGAAAAATGTACCCATATAAGTTTTAAAAAATAGATTAGAAAAAAATTGAAATTTACAGCTTAACTATCATTGTATTGCATAACTGAAAATATATATACAAGATACAATCATTGTTCTATAAGGAAACAATAAACAATAAAGGACACAAACATATATCCTTCCTAAAACATGACTCTAATAATTACAAAATATTTACATTCCTTTTCTACTAAATATCGACTTATTCCAATACTCCCCCTCAAGCTGGAGCATAGATATTACTCATGCCCAACTTGACAAGCGAGTCATCGAACCTCCTACTAAACACGACATGGGTAAGAATATCTGCAAGTTGTTCCTCCAAGTTCACAAACGGTATTAACATAATCTCCTTCTCCAACTTTTCTTTGATAAAATGTCTATCAACCTCAACATGCTTAGTCCTATCATACTGTATTGGACTCTCAGCAATTTCTCTCGCGGACTTATTATCACAATACAACTTCATTGCCTCTTTTTGTTTAAAACCGACACTCTAAAACATGACTCTAATAATTACAAAATATTTACATTCCTTTTCTCCTAAATATTGACTTATTCCAATAAATAAAAAAATAAAAAAAGTGAATGGATTTTAAATAAAAAAAATGGGTACACTTTACATTAAAAGAAATTGGTACATTTTACATGTAACAATTGGTATATTTAAAAAATGGAAAAATTATACAAATAGGTATGTTTAAGAGATTAAAAAATTGAAAATCGACTAGACTTGATGAGACGCCCCGATCCCGACATGAATTCTTGTATTTCAACCAGAATGTGACAATTCAAAGAGAGAAAGGTTTGCATAACTGCGCCAAATGGCACAAATTCGAAGGTTGTGACTTCCAACTGACGTCATGACAGGCACACTACTACAGTAACAGAAGGTCCTAAGTATGTTCTGAACAAACCTGGCTCTAATACCAACTCCGAAGTTAAGCGAGTTTGCGCAAGAGCAATCCCAGGATGGGTGACCCACAGTGAAGTTCTCGTGTGAGTTTCCAGAAACAAAACCATGAGGGTGTGGTCGGGGCCTAAAGCGGACAATATCGTGCTACGGTGGAGTCGAGCCTAGGATGTGACACTCAATGTTGTGGTAATGGCAACAACCATGGTCAGCGTTTTCTGATGAGAATGAGTTGGATTTTGGAATAGCTACGGACTAAGATTTAAGGGGTGGGGCCCAATTTTTTATTTATAATTTATTTTTTAATCAATGCGGACAAATTTGACTGTTATATCAGCAAAAAGGTGGGATCCATAGTTGACACATCATCTCTTAACGGTCAAATTAACTAATGGATGTATGAAGTTGCAATCAAATAGTAAATAAAGGTATGTGATTAAAATGTTTCAAAAATATTGTATGCAGTTGCAATTGACCACAAACCTAAGGGAATAAAATGTAATTTACTCGAAAAATTAATAAGAGAAACCCATTAGACGTCAGCCTCCCATCTCAGGCGGCGATTTATTTTTAATTTTTTGTTTAATTAAATAGTTAATTAAAAAAGATGAGTAGCCTCCTATTTCATCAACAGTCGCTTTGGCCGAGTGGTTAAGGCGTGTGCTTGCTAAGTGCATGGGGATCCCCCGCGAGAGTTCGAACCTCTCAGGCGACGATTTATTTTTAATTTTTGTTTAATTAAATAGTTAATTAAAAAAGATGAATAGCCTCCGACATCATCAACAATCGCTTTGGCCGAGTGGTTAAAGTGTGTGCTTGCTAAGTGCATGGGGATCCCCCACAAGAGTTTGAACCTCTCAGGCGACGATTTATTTTTGTTTTTTGTTTTTTGTTCTTTTTTTGTTTTTTTGTTTTTTTTTTTTTTGCCATGCTTGTGGTGCTCTATTTGCATGATCGTGTAAATTGGAAGGCCAATATTTGTAGGGAGTATACGTTAAGTTTGCAACGTGGCCATACAAAGCTTTTTTTTATCATTGTTCAAAAACTTAAGAAACTAAATGTAAAAACAACCAAACGTCTCATGATAGGATGATGAGACAATGTTGCCAATATAGAAAATCATGTTTTGCCATAAAAAGTAAGTACTCACAAATATTATAGAACATATTGTGTACATATGTATAGTACATTCATCAATATTAACCAAAAAATACTGCATCATAAAACGTTTGGTAAATTCTTCAAACCCAAAATATCAGTACATTCTTTAGAACCACGAATAATAATAATAATAATAATAATAATAATAATAATAATAATAATAGATATCATGCCTAATAATATTAATAAATTTCTTCGAATAACTTGGCATGAATACATTTTCAAATCAACGAAAAAGATGTACCGATATAAGTTTAAAAAAATAGATTAGAAAAATATGGGATCCACAGTTGCTACATTATCATTTAACGGTCAAATTAGCAGATTGATTAACAGATGTATGAAATTGAAATGAAACAATAAGCAAATGTATGTAATTGAAATGTCTTTAAAATGTTGTACGAGGTTACAATTAACCACAAATATGAGAGAGTAAAATGTAATTTACCAAAAAAAAATTAATAAGAGCAACACACCAAACGTCAGCATCTCCTCTTTCTTTTTGTGCAAAACCCTACAATTGTAAGACTATAAGAAATGGTTACACACAATTATAAGAAAGTTTGCTGGAAGAGGAAGAAGAAAGAGAAAAAGTGAGAGAGAGTGTGAAGTACCAAATGTTTCCGTTTGCCCGTTCAGGTTTTGCATTTCTTTCCTCAACCGTTGCACATTGGCGTTTAATTTATTTTCGTAAGCTGTAATTTCCTGTGTTTATTAATTTTACTTTTAATTAGGGTTAGAAAATTGAGCAATAATATATTATTGTAATGTATTTTGAAAGGCTAAAGACTCTTCGGTTCTTCCTTCTCTTGAATGCTACATTGGAGGGAGTTGTTCTGCTGCTGAGTGCAGTTCAGGTAGTCATTCATTCGTGCATTGGCAAGTGATCAAGCAACTCTTATGATACTCTTCTTTTAAGATTATGAAATCTGTTGAAAAGCAGAGTAATGGGACTGATATGAAATTCGTAGACATATTTATGGCTTGGTTTAACTTCTCTTTTATTTTTTTGGTAATAATTATCTTAAGGAGATTATGAATAATTAATTTTAAAGGATATGGGTCTGATGAAAGAAGCAAGGAAGGAAATGATAGCTACAGGAGGAGTACTCAATCCATTTCTTAAACTTGTGCAGTTGCTCCAACACCAGATACAAATTACAATACACATCTGATCAAATGATGCATCCGAATTCCATCATGAAAGGTACAATCTGTATCCGATCAAACGATGTCAGATGTGATTAAACAAAGAATATACGAATTCCATCCTTTCTTAATCATTTTTCTATCTGCACTAAAATATTGCAAGTTTATCATTAAAGAAGTTTACAACATTCCAGGTATATCCAATTAGAATTTGAATTTAAATAATTTGGAAGAGTTGAGGAATTAGAGGAAATTTGGGAGATTTTACAATGTATTGTAAGCATTCACAAATTTTACATCTCCTCATAAGAATTCGAGAAAATTGAATCAAAATTTTATATAAAATCTTTATAAATCAATTCAATTTCTTAAAAATCCGTAAATTTAAAAATCTACAAATTCCCAATTGATTACACTTTCTATTGTGACTGGTGCGATCTGGTAGTTGTCTTTAATTTTCTCCGTCAAATGGGGATATTGAAGCTTGCGAGCTGTACCCTTCTTGTTTTCAAACTAAGAAATAAAACAAAATCGCGCTAACAGGTTGAAGCAGATTCTTTCCTCCACAAATCATCCTCAGCAAACGTTTTTCGAAAAGTGGAGATTTACGCACGGACTCGCCGACTCACTGAAGATGATGCGGGCAACAACAGCTGCTGCTTCTTCTTCTTCTTCTTCTTCTTCTTTGAAAGTTGGTTATGGCGCAGCGGACTCGGACTCAGATTCGGAGGTATGCTGCCTTGTCTTGTTCAATCTTCTTCTGTCGTTGTTTTCTTGAACAATTACTTAGGTTTGTTTCACTCTCGAGCTTCTAAATCGACGGAATCAAGAAACACCCAACAACACCAGCGTGTGAAAATCACTAATGTTGAGGATGCTCTCAATGTGTTCGACGAAATGACTTCAAAGGCGTCCTCTGCCTTCCATTATCCCTTTCACTCAAGTGTTGGGTCAACTTGCCAAGGTGAAACATTACTCAACAGTCATCTCCTTGAATAATAAAATGGTTATGTCGGGAATTCATCCTGATGGTTATACTCTTAACAATTATCATTAATTGCTTCTGCCATTTGCACCAAATCGGGTCGGTTTATCTGTCTTTGGAAAATCCTTCAAATTGAATTTGGAACCAGATGTCACAACCTACACCACCATAATCAATGGCTTTCTTCATCAAAATAGAGAGGTCAAGGCAGTGGCACTTTTCAATAAAATGTTGGAGAGTGGTAATTGCAAGCCAAATGTTGTTACTTTCGGCACCTTAGTAAAGGCCCCTTGCATGAAAGGTAACAACATTGCAGCTATCCAATTGCTTAAGAAGATGGAAGAAGGAGCTTGCATGCCCAACGTAGTTATCTATAACACGATTATCGACAGTCTTTGCAAAGATACTCTAGTTGTTGATGCACTGCACATCTTCTCAGAAATGATTAGTAAGGGTATTTCCCCAACTGTCGTTACCTATAACACATTGATTCACGGTGTCTGCAAAATAGGGAAGTGGAAAGAAGCTACGAGATTGTTGAATGAAGTGGTGCGTAAACATATCTTTCCAAATGTGCCCACATTCAGTGTCTTGGCTGATACATTATTCAAAGAGGGGATGGTCCAAGAAGCAAGGAACATGTTTGAAATGATGATTCAAAGCAATATTGGACCTGATACGGTTACTTGCAATTTGCTTGTGGATGGTTATTGTTTGCGAGGAGAAACGGTTGAGGCGAAAAAATCCTTGATCTAATGCTTAGCAAGGATTGCATGGTTGATGCTTATAGTTATATAACATATTGATAAACGGCTATTGTAAGCCCAAAAGGATAGATGATGCCCGAATGCTTTTTGTGGAAATGCCTCATAAGGGAGTTGTTCCAAATACGGTTACTTGTAACACTCTTATGGATGGGTTTTGCAAGATGGGGAGAACACAAGATGGGCAAAACTTGTTCTCTCAAATGCAAGCTAGTGACCAACTTGCAGATGTTCAATCTTATAATATTTTGCTGGATGGTTTTTGTGAAAACCACCAACTCTCTATGGCAGTTGGATTGTTGAAAGAGATGGAGGGAAAGAAGTTGGATTTTAATATTGTAACTTACAATATTCTTATTGAAGGATTGTGCAAAGCTGAAAAAGTTGAATATGCATCAACGACACTGAGGCTTATTCAAGAAATGGTGGAGAGGGGTTTTTCTGCAGATGCATCAACTACGGAGTTGATCTAATTTATTGTCTAAAGATAGAGTAGATACCACTTTGTTGGCATTTATAGAAAGACTTGATTTGCATCCTTTTAGTTTTGACAAGTTTCAGTGCTTCCCCTTGATTGCTACATTGGAGGAGGGAGTTGTTCCACTGTCGAGTCCAGTTCAGGTAGACATTCGATCATGCATTGCCTAGTGACGTATGATATGTGTTATTAACTGAATCTATCAATTAAGATTATGAAATCTGTTGGTGAAGCAAAGTATATGGACTAGTATGAAATTTGTAGACATATTTATTCAATCCATGAGATTGCTTCTGCTTGCTTTACGAATACTGCAAATATGCATATTAAGTGACAATCTAGGTTGTAGATAAGAGTCCAAGACTAGTTCTTAATTCAAACCTTGCACAGCCTGAATAACTAGTCGTGTTTGAACGTGATAACTGCTTGTTTAACCTTTTTTTTTGTAATACTATTTTACAGCTCTTGCATTATAAAACGTTTTTCCTTTTTTTTTTTAATATACGGTATTATGTACACTTAACAGGTGGGGAGTGATCTAAGACACAATGGGCTATCAATAATGTGTTTCAAATACGCTGTTGACAATAATTGAACTTAAGACTTCTTACTTACTAGTGAAGAGAAATACCACTAAACCGTAGTATTAAGCGGCTATACAATGTTGAAATAAAATAGTAAGTAAAGGTATGTGATTAAAATGTTTCAAAAATATTGTATGCGGTTGCATTTGACCACAAACTTGAGGGAATAAAATGTAATTTACTCGAAAAAGTAATAAGAGAAACCCATCAAACGTTAGCCTCACATCTTAGGAGGCGATTTATTTTTAATTTTGTTTAATGAAATAGTTAATTAAAAAAAGATGAGTAGCCTCCTACATCATCAATAATCGCTTTGGCCAAGTGGTTAAGGCATGTGCTTGCTAAGTGCATGGGGATCCCCTGCAAGAGTTCGAACCTCTCAAGTGACGATTTATTTTTTTCAAATAACTTGACATGAATACATTTTCAAATCAACGAGAAAAATGTACCCATATAAGTTTAAAAAAATAAATTAGAAAAAATTGAAATTTACAGCTTAATTATCATTGTATTGCATAACTAAAAATATATATACAATATACAATCCTTGTTCTATAAGGAAACAATAAACAATAAAGGACACAAACATATATCCTTCATAAAACATGACTTTAATAATTACAAAATATTTACATTCCTTTTCTCCTAAATATTGACTTATTCAAATACTAATAATTACAAAATATTTACATTCCTTTTCTCCTAAATATTGACTCTCCCCCTCTAGCTGGAGCATAGATATTACTCATGCCCAACTTGACAAGCGAGTCATCGAACCTCTTACTACACACGGCATGGGTAAGAATATCTGCAAGTTGTTCCTCCAAGTTCACAAACGGTATTGACACAATCTCCTTCTCCGACTTTTCTTTGATAAAATGTCTATCAACCTCAACATGCTTAGTCTTGTCATACTATATTGGACTCTCAGCAATTTCTCTCGCGGACTTATTATCACAATACAACTTCATTGCCTCTTTTTGTTTAAAACTGAGACTCCAAAGTAACTTCCGTAGCCAAAGAATCTCACACAAACCCTGTGCCATACCCTTATACTCGACTTCAGTAGAGGACCGAGATACCACGTTTTGCTTCTTGCTCTGCCAAGTAACCAAATTACCTTCAAGAAATGTAAAATACCCAGATGTAGACCTTCTATTAGTCACATTACCTGCCCAATCAGCATCAGTAAATCCCTTAATCCTCACATGTCCATGACATTCATACAAAATTCCTTTACCTAGGGAAGACTTCAAATATGCCCAGATTCTCATTACCGCCGCCATATGATTCACACTTGGTGAGTGCATAAATTAACTAACCACACTTACGGTGTAGGCAATATCCAGACGAGTGTGAGACAAATAAACTAGCCTTCCCACTAGTCTTTGATATCTACCTTTGTCAACTGGTTCCTGATCTTTATAAATCCCCAAATAATGTTTCTCTACGATGGGAGTGTCCACAGGTTTTCAATCAGGAGGAACACCACGATTTTGCCTTTACGGCAACTTATATGTACTCACAATATTATCTGGATTAGTTACATGAGCATTAGTGGTACTAACCTCAGGAATATCCAGAGAAGACACATTGGGTGACATTATCGAGCTTGATAAAGAGGGGGTTGTGGATTCGGTAGCTACTAGTTGCTGGGATGGCGTTACTAGTTCGGGAGCTTCCTGTCGACATTCTGCATCATACTCGGCAGGTTGTTGCCGACAAGACTCAAGCTTTTCGGTGCTCAGTGGCTGAATGATACTCCAATTCTCAGCATCTTCTTGCTGAGAGCCTTGACTGTCTCCTTGCCGAGAGCTTTCACAGCTTTCATTTTCAACAGACACTCCCCCTAAGCTACATATTTCCAACCACTCAAGATCACCAACACTCTTCTCCCCCTGGTGATCAGAAAGGGATGGAATTGAAGCATAAAAATATTCGGACTCAGAAAAAGTAACATCCATGGTCACGTACATATGGCGAGTTTGAGGATAGTAGCACTTATACCCTTTCTGTTGAGGAGCAAATCCAAGAAAAACACACCGATGAGCACATGGAACCAACTTACTACGATGAATCTTGTGAATATGAACATAGACGACACACCCAAACACACGAGGAGTAAGAGTATTGGTGGACACTATAGAAACAAATTGAAATTTACGGTTTAATTATCATTGTATTGCATAACTGAAAATATATATACAAGATACAATCCTTGTTCTATAAGGAAACAATAAACAATATAGGACACAAACATATATCCTTCCTAAAACATGACTCTAATAATTACAAAATATTTACATTCATTTTCTCCTAAATATAGACTTATTCCAATAAAAAATAAAAATAAAAAGTGAATGGATTTTAAATAAAAAAAATGGGTACGCTTTACATTAAAAGAAGTTGGTACATTTTACATATAACAATTGGTATATTTTAAAAATGGAAAAATTATACAAATAGGTATGTTTGAGAGATTAAAAAATTGAAAATCGACTAGACTCAATGACACGCCCCGATCCCGACACGAATTTGTGTATTTCAACCAAAAGGTGACAATTCAAAGAGAGAAAGGTTTGCACAACTGCGCCAAACGGCACCAAATTCGAAGGTCGTGACATCCAAATGACGTCATGACAAACACACTACTACAGTAACAAAAGGTCCTAAGTATGCTCTAAACAAACCTGGCTCTAATACCAACTTCGAAGTTAAGCGAGTTCACGCGAGAGCAATTTCAGGATGAGTGATCCACTGAGAAGTTCTCGTGTGAGTTCCCAAAAACAAAACCGTGAGGGTGTGGTTAGGGCCTAAAGCGGACAATATCATGATACGGTGGAGTCGAGCCGGGAATGTGTCACTCGATGATGTGGTAATGGCAACAGCCATGGTCAGCATTTTCTGGCAAGAATGAGTTGGATTTTGGAATAGCTGCGGACTAAGATTTAAGGGGTGAGGCCCAATTTTTTATTTATAATTTATTTTTTAATCAATGCGGAAAAATTTGACTGTCATATCAACAAAAAGGTGGGATCCATAGTTGACACATCATCACTTAACGGTCAAATTAACTAATGGATGTATGAAGTTGAAATGAAATAGTAAGTAAAGGTATGTGATTAAAATGTTTCAAAAATATTGTATGCGGTTGCAATTGACCACAAACCTAAGGGAATAAAATGTAATTTACTCGAAAAATTAATAAGAGAAACCCATCAGACGTCAGCCTTCCATCTCAGGCGGCAATTTATTTTTAATTTTTGTTAAATTAAATAGTTAATTAAAAAAGATGAGTAGCCTTCTATGTCATCAACAGTCGCTTTGGCCGAGTGGTTAAGGCGTGTGCTTGCTAAGTGCATGGGGATCCCCCGCGAGAGTTCGAACCTCTCAGACGACGATTTATTTTTAATTTTTGTTTAATTAAATAGCTAATTAAAAAAGATGAATAGCCTCCTACATCATCAACAGTCGATTTGGCCGAGTGGTTAAGTTTTTTGCTTGCTAAGTGCATGGGGATCCCCCACGAGAGTTTGAACCTCTCAGGCAACATTTTATTTTCATTTTTTGTTTTTTTTTTTGTTTTTTGTTTTATTTTTTGGCCATGCTTGTGGTGCTCCATTTGCATGATCATGTAAATTGGAAGGCCAATATTTGTAGGGAGTATACATTACGTTTGCAACGTGGCCATACAAAGCTTTTTTTTATCATTGTCCAAAAACTTAAGAAACTAAATGTAAAAACAACCAAACGTCTCAGGTTAGGATGATGAGACAATGTTGCCAATGTAGAAAATCATGTTTTGCCATAAAAAGTAAGTACTCACAAATATTATAGAACATATTGTGTACATATGTATAGTACATTCATCAATATTAACCAAAAGTTACTGTACCATAAAACGTTTGATAAATTCTTCAAACCCAAAATATCAGTACATTCTTTAGAACCACGAAAAATAATAATAATAGATATCATGCCTAATAATATTAATAAATTTCTTCGAATAACTTGGCATGAATACATTTTCAAATCAACGAAAAAGATGTACCCCTATAAGTTAAAAAAAAAAATAGATTAGAAAAATATGGGATCCACAGTTGCTACATTATCATTTAACGGTCAAATTAGCAGATTAACTAACAGATGTATGAAATTGAAATGAAATAATAAGCAAATGTATGTAATTGAAATGTCTTTAAAATGTTGTATGAGGTTACAATTAACCACAAATATGAGAGAGTAAAATATAATTTACCAAAAAAAATTAATAAGAGCAGCCCACCAAACGTCAGCATCTCCTCTTTCTTTTTGTGCAAAACCCTACAATTGTAAGACTATAAGAAATGGTTACACACAATTATAAGAAAGTTTGTTGGAAGAGGAAGAAGAAAGAGAAAAAATGAGAGAGAGTGTGAAGTGCCAAATGTTTCCGTTTGCCCGTTCAGGTTTTGCATTTCTTTCCTCAACCGTTGCACATTCGCATTTAATTTATTTTCGTAAGCTGTAATTTCCTATGTTTATTAATTTTACTTTTCATTAGGGTTAGAAATTTGAGCAATAATATATTATTGTGATGTATTTTGAAACGCTAAAGACGCTTCTATGCATGCTTGGAGGAACAATCTGAGTTTGTCAACCACTATCTTAGTCATATAGGTTCGGTTTTGCTCAATGGTAATCTTAATTGTTCATGTTTTGTACTATCTTGCTTAACATGACGCCTTATTATTTTCTCGTTTTGTTGTCATTTTCAGTTTGCCATCAGATTTTTGGTGCACAATTACCTAATTAGTTTGTAAATTTGACGCCGACTTAGTGCTATATGTATTTTAAGTGAAGAACGAAGTTGAAGTTTGTAACTCACACAATTCAGAAATGGACAATTGTTGAATACTGGTGCTCTTCATTGCTGACTTGTTTCACGGCTTTAAGCATGCAAAACTTTCGTGCTCAGTACTTCTCACTTTTGCATCTAATAACGTCTTCCATTGCCTCTTAATACTAATAATATTCACCTTTACTTGTAAACGAGATGTCTTAAATTTAAACCACATTAATATGACTATCCCTTTGTGAGACTTTGACCACTTCTTCCCTCTTGATATAGATAATATCGTTTGTTAAAAAAAATAAAAAAATGTTCTATTAATGTAGTATCATAGGCCGGAAAGATTTATAGAGGCATTTCAGCCTCCCCTGACGACCATCATGTGATTCACCAGCGTCAAGAATTGAATCCAAGAGATGTCATATGAAATACGGGCCCTTATTTCTATATATAATTGTAGGGGTGGACATAAAAATCATAAAACCAAATCAAACAACGACGTTATAAACTGGAAAAAACCATGTTGACAAAAAAAGTCAACTTACGTTCAAGAACCGGATCAAACCGTTCATATACATTCCGATTTTCATCTTGGTAGAACCTTAGAACCAGACCGAACCGTTTTTTTTTTTTTTTTAAATATCTTATTCACTTATATATAGACTCAAGCAAATTTAATTAAGTCCAAGTTAAAAATCATGATAATGCTTTCACTTGCTCTGCTCATTTGTTAAAATCATAATAATGTCTTTTCTTATCGTGGATGTTCTAAAAGAGGGGGTTCAAAACCTAAATTTTAAGCTTTAACGCAAATGTTGAATAAAAGAGATTTAACTGTAGTAGTTTGAATTATTTGAGACTTGGGCTTGTTCTTCTTCATGCTTATATTCTCCCAACAAAAATGAATAATTTTTTCTCGTTGATTTGTGTATTTATTTTCAATTTGCGTTTATCTAGAACTAGAAAAAAACATGAAATTCATGGTCTTGAACTCTCACAACAACTCTTTGATTTGTGAGCAACTCTCAGCTCGCTGACTTAGAGATGCTGAAGATGATGCGGGCAACGATTGCTGCTTCTTCTTCTTTGAAGGTTGGTTATGGAACCAGCACCACCAGAGGTATGCTGCCTTGTCCTCTTCAATCTTCTCCTGTTGTTGTTTTCTTCAACAATTACTTGGCTTTGTTTCACTCTCGAGCTTCTAAATCGACCGAATCTAGAAACACTCAACAACACCAGCTTGTGAAAATAAGTAATGTTGAGGATGCTATCAATGTGTTCGACGAAATGCTTCAAAGGCGTCCTCTGCCTTCCGTTGTCCCTTTCAACCAAATCTTGACTCAACTTGCCAACTTGAAACATTATTCGGCAGTCATCTCCTTGAATAACCAAATGGTTGTGTCCGGAATTCATCCTAATGTTTATACTCTAAACATTATCATGAATTGCTTTTGCCATTTGCCCCAAATGGGGTTGGGTTTGTCAGTCTTGGGAAACTTCTTCAAATTGGGTTTTGAACCAAATGTGCGACCTTCAACACTCTAATTAACGGCTTTCTTCTTAAGAATAGAGACGCCGAGGCTGCAGCACTTTTCAATAAAATGTTGGAGAGTGGTAATTGCAAGCCGAATGTGGTTTCTTTCGGCACATTAGTTAAGGGTCTTTGCAAAGGTAACAATAGTGCAGCAATCCACTTGCTTAAGAAGATGGAAGAAAATGCTTGCATGCCTAACGTAATTGTCTACAACACGATTATCGACAGTCTTTGCAAAGATTCTCTAGCTGTTGATGCACTGAACCTCTTTTTAGAAATGACGAGTAAGGGCATTGCTCCTGACGTCATTACCTATAACTCCTTGATTCATGGAGTTTGCAAAGTAGGGAAGTGGAAAGAAGCAAGGAGCGTGGTTGATACATTCTGCAAAGAGGGGATGGTCCAGGAAGCAAGGAGCGTGGTCAAAATGATGACGCAAGGGGATATAGCACCCGATACAATTACGTACAATTTGCTTATAGATGGTTACTGTTTGCGAGGAGAAATGGACGAGGCGAAAAAGGTTTACGAAATAATACTTAGCAAAGGCTGCATGGTTAATGCTCGTACTTATAACATATTGATGAACGGCTATTGTAAGTGTAAAAGGATAGATGATGCTCGGATGATTTTTCTGGAAATGTCTCATAAGGGAGTTGTTCCAAATACGGTTACTTATAACACTCTTATGGATGGGTTTTGCAAGATGGGAAGAATACGAGATGCACAGAACTTGTTCTCTCAAATGCAAGCTTGTGCCGACTTCCAGACATTCAAACTTATTCTATTTTATTGCATGGCATGTGTGCAAACCAACAATTTCCCAAGGCAGTTGAATTGTTGGAAGAGATTGAGGTAAAGAAGTTGGATTTTGATATTGTAACTTACAGTATTCTTATTGAAGGATTATGCAAAGCTGAAAAAGTTGAATATGCATGGGATCTCTTTCGTAGTTTATCATCAAAGGGAATTCAACCTAATGTCAGGACATATACAATAATGATTAGTGGATTTTGTAACCAGGGACTAGCAAGTGAAGCAGAAAACTTGCTTAGAGAAATAGAAGAGAAAGGTTGTTGTCCAGTTGGTTGCACGTACAATACAATTATCCGAGGGTTTATCAATAACAACGAGACATCAACAGCGGTAAGGCTTATTCAAGAAATGGTGGAGAGAGGTTTTTCTGCAGATGCATCAACTACGGAGTTGGTCGTTAACTTATTGTCTAAAGATAAAGTAGATCCCGCTTTGTTGGCATTTATAGAAAGAACGTGATGAAATTATTTTGCATTTTGACAAGTTTCAGTGCTTCCGTCTCTTGAATGCTACAGTGGAGGGAGTTGTTCTGCTGCTGAGTGCGGTTCAGGTAGCCATTCATTCGTGCATTGGCTAGTGATGTATGATATGTGTTATTAATTGGAGCTATCATCTTTTAAGATTATGATATCTGTTGAAAAAGCAGAGTAATGGGACTGATATGAAATTCGTAGACATATTTATGGCTTGGTTTAACTTCTCTTTTATTTTTTGGTAATAATTATCTTGAGGAGATTATGTAGACTTAATTTTAAAGGATATTGCAAGTTCACCATTGAAACAAATGCCTTGAGTTGTTGATATGGAGGTTCACGAGCCTGTTGGTAATTGCAAGTAAATGTTTGGCTCCATCAGTCTTCCATTTCTGAATCCAGAACAGGGAGGATGCTCAGGGCTGAAGGATTAAGATGCTTGCCCCGAACAATCCCCTCATATTAACAGGTACAGGTGTTGAGTAAATTTCAATAGTGCTGGCACGATAAACAGACTGGATGACTAGTAAAAGACCAGCAATTTGGAAGAGCTCAATTTTGGCATAAATGTGGCGTTAATCATTACAGTTATGCCTTCTCCCAACTGACGGTGTTTAATTAAGCGAGCATATGCTAGTAATTACCAACCTGAAGAGAAAGTTGCGATTTCAAATCCCAATACAAGGCAAAAACTGGCGGACTTTTCCTTCCAACTGCGAGTCTGCGAGTACTACAAGCTCATGGGTGAAAACCAGACGGGACACCTGATACAACGGCTATGTACTTCTCAGGAAGCCCTTCTTTCCCAAAACGAGCACCAGCATAAGATGTTGTAAGAATCTGGATATCTTTACAGATTACTACCATGAATGAAGACTGATTTGAGTTTGCAACCTCTTTAACTCTAGTGAACCCTAGAAAGTGTGGTCGTGCTACCTCTCGGAGTGATCCAAGAGGTAGGCTTGAAAATGTAAGGTTTCTTTTTATTGAATTACTATTATGATCTCGAATTAGAAACCCTGCAGCAGCATTACCATAATACCATTGGCATGAACAAAACCATCAGAGCTAATTTTAAAAATGTATATATTAGCCAAATAGGAATCAAGTCAAACGCTAATTAGAATCTCTCAAAGTGGAACTCTGCATATACGCTCCGAACAGTGCTCTCCGGCAAGTTCACCATCGAAACAAATGCCTTGAGTTGTTGAAATGCAGGTTCACAAGTCCTGTTGGTAATTAGGAGTGTATTCAATTGAAATTTTGAGGGATTTTAATTCTTTTAATGAATCTAGGAGTATTCAATTAGAATTTTAAATAATTATTTGAAATTCAAAGTATATTCAATCAGGATTTTAAAATAATTTATTAAAATCCTTAGAAATCGGTGTATTCAATTAGAATTTTAAAAAGGTTTATAACATTTCATGTTTATTCAATTAGAATTTGGAAAAGTTGAGGAATTAGAGGGAATTAGAGAGATTTTGTAGTGTATTTTAAACATCCACAAATCTCACATCTCTCTATGAGATTTCGAGAGAATTCAATCAAAATTTTACATAAAATCTTTAAAATATGTTCAACTCCATAAAAATCTATAAATTTATAAATCTATTTAAATCTCTTAAATTACTAATTGAATACGCACCCTAAATTTGGGAATGGTACGATATTACCGTTCTGACCCTATTTTATTAGGTAGTTGTCTTTAACTTTCCCCGTCAAATAGGGATATTGAAGCTTGAGAGCTTTACCTTCTTGTTTTCAAACTAAGAGGAAAAGCAAAAGTTAACAGGTTGAAGCAGATTCTTTCCTCCATATATCATCCTCAGCAAACGTTTTTCGGAAGGAGGCTTTACTCACTGACTCGCTGAAGATGATGCGGGAAATAACAGCTGCTGCTTCTTCTTCTTCTTTGAAAGTTGGTTATGGCAGCAGCAGACTCGGACTCAGATTCGGAGGTATGCTGTTTTGTCTTGTTCAATCTTCTTCTGTTGTTGTTTTCTTCAACAATTACTTGGTTTTGTTTCACTCTCGAGCTTCTAAATCGACGGAATCAAGAAACACCCAACAACACCATCGTGTGAAAATCACTAATGTTGAGGATGCTCTCAATATGTTCGACGAAATGCTTCAAAGGCGTCCTCTGCCTTCCGTTATCCCTTTCAACCAAATCTTGACTCAACTTGCCAAGTTGAAACATTATTCGGCAGTCATCTCCTTGAATAACCAAATGGTTGTGTCCGGAATTCGTCCAGATGTTTATACTCTAGCCATTATTATTAATTGCTTTTGTCATCTCAACCAAATGGAGTTTAGTTTGTCAGTCTTGGGTAACTTCTTCAAATTAGGTTTTGAGCCAAATGTCACAACCTACACCACTCTAATCAACGGCTTTCTTCTTAAGAATAGAGAGGCCGAGGCAGCAGCACTTTTCAACAAAATGATGGAGAGAGGTAATTGCAAGCTTGATGTGGTTACTTTTGGTACACTAGTAAAGGGCCTTTGCTTGAAAGGTAACAACACTGCAGCAATCCAATTGCTTAAGAAGATGGAAGAAGGAGCTTGCAAGCCTAACATAGTTGTCTATAGCACAATCATTGACAGTCTTTGCAAGGATACTCTAGTTGTTGATGCACTGAACCTCTTCTCAGAAATGATGAGTAAGGGCATTGCTCCCAACATCATTACCTATACCTCTTTGATTCATGGATTTTGCAAAGTAGAGAATTGGAAAGAAGCTAAAAGATTGTTTAATGAAATGGCGGAGAAACAAATCTTTCCAAATGTGTGCACCTTCAATGTTTTGGTTGATACATTCTGCAAAGAGGGTAAGGTCCAGGAAGCAAGGAGCGTGGTTGAGATGATGATTCAAAGAGATATCAAACCTAATACAATTACATACAATTCACTTATGGATGGTTACTGTTTGCGAGGAGAAATGGACGAGGCGAAAAAGATTTTTGAAGTAATGCTTAGCAAAGGCTACATGGTTGATACTTGTAGTTATAACATAATGATAAACGGCTACTGTAAAAGTAAAAAGATAGATTATGCCCGAATGCTTTTTGTGGAAATGTCTCATAAGGGAGTTGTTCCAGATACGGTTACTTATAACACTCTTATGGATGGGTTTTGCAAGATGGGGAGAACACAAGATGCACAGAACTTGTTCTCTCAAATGCAAGCTTGTAGCCAACTTCCAGACATTCAAACTTATTCTATTTTATTGCATGGCATGTGTGCAAACCAACAATTTCCCAAGGCAGTTGAATTGTTGGAAGAGATGGAGGGAAAGAAGTTGGATTTTAATATAGTAACTTATAATATTCTTATTGATGGTTTGTGCAAAGCTGAAAAAGTTGAATATGCATGGGATCTCTTTCGTCGTTTATCATCAAAAGGAATTCAACCTAATGCCAAGACATATACTATAATGATTCGTGGATTCTGTAATGGGGGGCAAATATGTGAAGCGGAAAACTTGCTTAGAGAAATGGAAGAGAAAGGCTGTTCTCCAAATGGTTGGACGTACAACACAATTATCCGAGGCTTTATCAATAACAACGAGACATCAATGGGGGTGAGGCTTATTCAAGAAATGGTGGAGAGGGGTTTTTCTGCAGATGCGTCAAATATTGAGTTGATTGTTAATTTATTGTCTAAAGATAGAGTAGATGCCACTTTGTTGGCATTTATAGAAAGACCATGATGAAATTGATTTGCATCTTTTTAGTTTTGACAAGTTTCGGTGCATCCTTCCCTTGAATGCTACATTGGAGGAGGGATTCCACTGTCGAGTCCAGTTCAGGTAGCTATTCATTCATGCATCGCCTAGTGACTTATGATATGTGTTGTTAACTGAATTTATCAATTAAGATTACGAAATCTGTTGGTGAAGCAGAGTATCTGGACTAGTATGAAATTTGTTGACATATTTATGACTCGAATACCAATCCATGAGATTGCCTCTGCTTGCTTTATGAATCCTGCAAATATGCGTATTAAGTGACAATCCAGGTCGGAGATAAGAGTCCAAGACTAGCTCCCAATTCCAACCTTGCGTAGCCTGAATAATTAGTCGTGTTTGAACGTGATAATTGCTTGTTTAACCCCTTTCTTTTTTTTCTTTTTTTTTTTGAATAAAAGATATTATGTACATTTAATGGATGGGAAGTGAGTTAAGCTTCACAATGGGCTAGCAACAATGTGGTTCAAATACGCTGTTGACGAGAATCGAACCTAAAACTTCTCACTTACAAGTGAAGAGAAATACCGTTGAACTGTAGTATTAAGTGGTTGTACAACTTTTTTTCAATTTCAAGAGTTTAACATTTCGTTTGAAGGGCTTTTATGTCCAATTAGTTAAACTGAATATCAATAGAACTCTGATTGTCAACTAAAATTTTATAAAATTAACATGCTAACCTACTAGTCAAAACTAACAGAAATAAAATATAATTTTACACAAGCTAAAGTTTTCTATTTTTTAAAAGGTAATGCTGCACTAACCACCTATTTGCATATTTGATTCATCTCTCTAATAGCGTGTGGGCCGCCAACGCATGTGGCTCATATATTTGTTAGCAAGATAGTACAAATATATTGTAAAAATAGCAAATTTGTTTTTTGAAGTTTCACCCACATAATTCTAACATATCTTTAACATGTTTGAATAAAGAAATGATAGGGTTTTATTTTCTAAATTTATAAATTTTCTTATTTGGTTAACCTAAAAGAAGAAGGAAATTGGATACAGAATTTCTTATTTTTAAACTCTCAATTATAGAAATTGGGAAATGACACTTATTTATATGGAATTTAAACTTGGGAATTTAAGGTCCTAAATTCCAAGTTTTTCTTGTAAGCAAAAATTCTAAATTTCTATATTTATGGATCCAAACAAAAGGATTAGTGCATGTCAATTTATAAATGATGACTTTTACCCAAATTCCAAGTTTTTCTTCCACGCAGAAATTCTAAATTTATATATTTATGAATCCAAATAAAAAAATTAGTACATGTTAATTTATAAATTTTGATTTGTATCCAAATTCCAAATTTATTTTCTTTATCCAAATGTAATGTAATATTAAAAATAAAATAATAAAAAAGTCTTTCTCTCTTTTCTGGTCTCTCCCATGTCTCTCTCCCTTACATTCTACACACGTTATGTAATTTTTTTAACAAACAATATTATCTACACGGAGAAGATGAATGAATTTAGTCTTACAATGAGTTAGCAATGATATGGTTCAAATTAGTTTTTAATGAAAATCAAACCTAAGACCTTTTACTTATAAATAAAGAAGAATATCACTATACCTTAGTATTAAGTAATTGAATAAGAATATCACTGCTAAGTATCATTGAGAATAGTGAATGAGTCAGTTTTCACCAAAAATAGGAAATCATGCTAACAGTAAAAGCAGATTCTTCCCTCCATAAATCATCCTCAGCAAAAGTTTTTGGGAAAGAAGATTTGCGTACGGATTCGCTGACTCAATGGAGATGATGCGGGCGCAACAACAGCTGCTGTTGCTGCTTCCTCTTTCTTTGAAGGTTGGTTATGGCAGCAGCAGCAGACTCGGGCTCTAATCAATTGAGGAAAATGGGGGTTGGCTTTTCTATCTTGGGAAAATTCTTCAAACTGGGTTTTGAACCAATTGTCATGACCTTCAACACTCTAATCAATGGCTTTATTCGTGAGCATAGAGAGGCTGATGCTGCTGCACTTTTCAACAAAATGATGGAGGGAGGTAATTGGAAGACGGATGTGGTTACTTTCAGCATACTAGCAAATGGCTATTGCTTGAAAGGTAACAACACTGGAGCTATCCAGTTCCTTAAGAAGATGGAAGAAGGCGATTACAGGCCTGATAACACGATCATCAACAATCTTTGCAAGGATATTCTAGTTGTTGATGCACTAAACCTCTTCTCAGAAATGACAAGTAACGGCATCGCTCCCAACGTCGTTACCTATACCTCTTTGATTCATGGATTTTGCAAAGTAGGGAATTGGAAAGACGCTACAAGATTATTGAATGAAATGGTGAGTAAACATATCTTTCCAAAGGTGTGCACCTTCAATGTTTTGGTTGATACATATTGTAAAGAGGGGATGGTCCGGGAAGCAAGGAGCGTGGTTGAAATGATGACGCAAAGGGATATTGCACCTGATACAATTACGTACAATTCACTTATAGATGGTTCGTGCGGGAGTATGCTTCACTAATAGCAGTACAGGACATAACAGTAGGCTCCGACATCTGATCAAACAGAGACCGAGCCAATTTAAGCTCCCCCCATTTGCCAAACCATGTATCATGACATTCCAAGTGACAGAATTCCCCTGCGGGATTTCATCGAACACATTGAGAGCAAGCGCCAACAAGCCACAAGTAGCATATATATTAATCAGGAAATAATGATAGGATTCGTGCATTACCTGAGCGGTTAGGGTTAGCTCAAGAAGTGAGAGCGGGCGGGAGAAATGATAGAAGAAGACAATCAATCATTTGAAGGCACTGAATGAACGAAAATTTGAGCACCCAATTGAAATTCAGAACGATATGATTTCTTTGTATATTTTTGTTCTTGACCAACAGTTCCTCCCAAAGACATACTCCGCCGGAAGCCCCCTAATAACATCCCAAAACTCTGAGCAAGAGAATTAACACGATGCTTTTAACTATTCTTTCTTTTTCTCTTTATCCTTTTTGTTTTTTTTAAGCTCTACGAGTAACGTAGTAACCCTATGATATATACATTGTACCTCTCTGAAGTAAACTAGAGCAATCATGCCTCGGCTAGTGCCGGAACAGAATCACCAAGCGCTACCTCTTCTTCCTGCTCTTCAGTATTACCTTCAAGACGTGTTTCATCCACTTCTGCTGTGAAGTTCAGCGGCCCTTGTGGTGTTCCAAAGGGTGTAGTGAATATCTGTCTATGACATTCGTCACTAAAGTAGATGTAGGTGAAATGGCCCTCATATGGAAGCTTATGTACCGCAGCTCCTGGTAAAATCCGGTGAATAAAATCAGTCATCGATGGTGGGACCACCTTATCGTCCATCCCCTGTCAAAAATTGGAGGAGAATGGTCTGGATTAATACCTCCGATGGTCTGGATTAATACCTCCGATGAAAAATACTAAACGCTCTGTATAGTTTGAATGAAGCCATGGTATGGCGAGAGATTCGTTGTGGTTACAAGGAAACAATTATCACCAGAAATCTGTCCACGAGTATGTTACGCCATACGAGAGATTCGTGGTGCTTTATCTGCAGGATCATGTAAACTGGAACGGTCAATATTTGTAAGGATTACGTTACGTTACGTCCAAAAACTTAACAAGAAACTAAAAGTAAAAAGAACCAAACGTCTTATGATAGGATGATGAGACAATGCTGCCAATGTAGAAAATCATGTTTTGCCATAAAAAGTATGTACACGTATTATAAAACATATTGTGTACATATATATAGTACATTCATCAATATTAACCAAAAGTTACGATACCAGAAAACGTTTGGTAAATTCTTCAAACCGAACACATGGATATATTCTTCAAAACCGTGAAAAATAATAATAATGAATACTAGGCTTAATAACATCAATTTTTTTAGAGAATAAACATGGCAGGTTGGGGCGGGACGTGTGTATTTAGGGGCGGGCCGAGTCCTATTATTTAGAATAACAAGGCCCCAGACCAGCCCGTTCTAAACATAATGGATGTACTCTTCTGCTGCTCCATCTCTCTTAGAATCCAGACTCTCCAGAGTCCCAGACCATCCACTCCTGTCAACCTTTGCGACTCCGTACTCGCTCTTCTCACTGCCGTCTCTGTTAGACAAATAAGGAATATGGTTGGAGTCCTTGTGTAATTGTATATAATATTATTCACTAGCCGTCCTACAGCCGTTCTACCTTGTCCTACCTACACACTAGCCGTCCTACCTACACACTAGCCGTCCTACAGCCGTCAAGTCGTCCTACAGCCGTCCTACCTTGTCCTACCTACACACTAGCCGTCCTACAGCCGTCAAGTCGTCCTACAGCCGTCCTACCTTGTCCTACCTACACACTAGGACGGCTACCTTGTCCTACCTACACACTTGTATCATGTATATATATCCTTGTAATCTTGTAGAGAAAGATAATGAGAAAAAAAAAAACCATTCTCTTCCATTTGCATTCTCTTCCATTTTTTTCCACATTCACGTATCAATAACAAATATATTTTTTAGCCTACATACCTTTTTCTACATGGTATACAGAGTAGGTTTATAACCCTAGCCCTAATTTTTTTTTCGGCAGCTTTCTCTGCCGTTCCCATGGCTGACTCTTCTTCTTCCGATGGTGTTTTTTCCCTTCATCATTCCGACCACCCGAATCTTGTCCTTGTATCCAAGAAGTTGAATGGTGATAACTACACATCCTAGGCCCGTGGCATGCAGCTTTCCTTGAGTGCCAAGAATAAACTTGGTTTCATCACTGGCGATATCCAAGAACCTTCTTCCTCCGACGACCCTGATGCTCACGCGGCTTGGCGTCGTTGCAATGACATGATTCTCTCTTGGCTTCTGCATTCCTTGGAACCTGACCTTCAAGAATCTGTGCTTTTTTCCACCTCTGTCCAAGCTGTATGGGATGATCTTCGCGAACGCTTCTCTCAGAGTAATGCTCCACGCATCTTCCAACTCAACCGGGAACTTGCTACAATTTCTCAAGGTTCTTCTTCTATCTCTGCCTATTTTACTCGCCTGAAAGCTCTCTGGGATGAGCTTGCTTCTTATAATGATGGCTGCACGTGCTCTTGCAACGCCAAGCATGACCGTCAACAACTCATGCAATTTTTAATGGGCCTCAACGAATCATTTGCTGCTGTTCGTGACCAGATTCTTTTAATGAATCCCCTCCCCACTGTTCGTCAGGCATGTTCCTCGGTGTCTCAAGCTGAAAAACAACGCTCCCTGGGCGTCCTCTGCTCTGTCGATCAACCTGCTGCCATAGCTGTTCGTGGCTCGTCCCGTCCCTCCTCTGCTCGTCCTCCTCTCCACTGCACCTACTGCAATTTTGATTATCATACCCGAGACACCTGCCATAAACTTCATGGCTATCCCGTTGGCCATCCCCTCCATGGCCAACCGTGGCGACCACCGTGCCGTGCCACTGCTTCCAGTTCTTCCCGCAGCCATGCACCTTCCAGTCCTCCCCGGTAGCCACGGTTTTCTGCTTCCCGGCCCCATAATTTCACCCAGGCCCATCACGTGCAAGGCACCCAGGCCCCCGCCTCCTCTTCTACTCCAGCGACCCACCAAGTGCACGGGGCCCAGCCCACTTTGCATGACTTGCAGCTTGCCATGCCTGACCTCTCTGCCGAGCAGCACTCCCGTGTTCTAACTGCTCTACGTGACACCACCACCCCTCCTCAGGCCAATGCCGTGCTCACTACTGATTTTGCCCAAGGTTTGTTACCTGTCACCTCTCGTCATGGTCAATGGATTCTTGACAGTGGTGCTACGGATCATATTACTTCTTCCGCCTCATGTTTGGTTAATCGTTCTCTTTCACATTTGCCGCCTGTTTCTTTGCCTAGTGGTGCTTCCGCTCCCATTACTTTTACCGGCACTCTTCCTTTAAATTCATCAGTTACTTTGAAGGATGTTTTATGTGTCCCTAATTTCTGAGTGGACCTTTTATCGGTTGGTAAACTTACAGATGGATTATCGTGTTCCATAACCTTCTTTCCTTCTTGGTGTGTTTTGCAGGACTTGGTTTCGAAGGCGATGATTGGTGTGGGCAAGCGACGTGGCGATCTGTATTACCTTGTGGCCCTTACCTCTTCTCTCCCCACCCGTCAACCTCTCTGCAACATCATTACCATCCCCTCCTCCCTCTGGCATAGGCGTCTTGGTCACCCCTCCTCCACTCGTTTGCAAGCTTTAGCATCTAGCTCTCTTAATTGTCCTTTTGATTCTAGTCATATTTGTGATGTTTGTCCGTTGGCAAAACAAACTCGTCAACCTTTTCGTTTGAGTTCAATTTCATCAACTTTCCCTTTTGCTTTAATTCATTGTGATATTTGGGGCCCGAATCGTCAATCTTCTCTTTCTGGTGCTCATTATTTCTTAACCATTGTGGATGATTTTTCTCGCTTTACGTGGGTCTTCCTCATGAAACATAAATCCGACACTCAACAATTAATTAAGGATTTTTTTGCTTATGTCACTACCCAGTTCCACACTACCATCCAATGCATTCGTACTGACAATGGTGGTGAATTTTTATCTCTTCGTAGTTTTTTCTCTGATCATGGGGTGCTTTTACAAACTTCTTGTGTTTATACCCCCCAACAAAATGGCGTTGTTGAAAGAAAACATCGTCATCTTCTTGAAACCGCTCGCGCCCTTCGTTTTCAATCCCATCTTCCTATCAAGTTTTGGGGGGAATGTGTTCTTACCGCTACTTATCTCATCAATCGTCTCCCTACCCGTCTTCTCCATCATAAATCCCCATTTAAGGTTCTCTTTTCGCAAACCCCATCTTATGACCACTTCCGCGTCTTTGGTTGTCTGGCATATGCCACCTCTATCACTCCCACCACCAAATTTTCCCCTCGGGCTCATCGTTGCATTTTTCTCGGTTATCCTCATGGACAAAAGGCCTATACCCTTTATGATCTCGACAATCACCGCATTTTTACTAGTCGAGACGTCATCTTTCATGAAACTACTTTCCCTTATGCCGTTTCTCACCCTCATATCCCATCCTCTTCGCCTACCCTACCCATCCCACCCCCTCTGGACTTTACATATAACCCACCCCTTCCTGCCCCGACGCCTCACCCTCCTCCACCTTCCTCCCCTTCCACACCTCCCACAGATTCCCTTGCTGTCCCATTACCCGTTCCTCCCCATGCCCCTTTACCCACGGACATCCCTACCCCCCCTCCCCCACTACCTACCAATCCTCCCCTTCCCCGCACCTCTTCCCGTGCCCATAAACCTCCATCCTATTTAAAAGACTACGTTTGCTCGCAGGTGATTCTGCCATCCCACCCATCTTCGACTTCGCAACTCGTGTCTACACAAGGTACGCGATATCCACTTTGTAATTTTCTCTCTTATCACCGTTACTCTCCCAGGCATTTTTCTTACATTAACTCTGTCAGTCGGACTGTGGAGCCTTCCTCCTTTGTCGAGGCTGCCACTGACCCCAATTGGCAACGTGCTATGACTGAGGAGCTTCAAGCTTTACATGTTAATGGTACTTGGACTTTAACTTCCTTGCCCCCTGGCAAAATTCCCATTGGTTGTAAGTGGGTGTACAAACTCAAGCACAATTCCGACGGCTCTATTGACTGCTACAAAGCTCGTTTGGTTGCTAAAGGCTTCACTCAGGCTGAAGGTATTGATTATCATGACACTTTTTCTCCTACTGCTAAGATGATTACGGTGCGTTATCTTCTTGCTCTTGCTGCTAGTCAGTCTTGGTCTCTTCATCAGCTTGATGTTAATAATGCTTTCTTACATGGTGACTTACATGAAGAAATCTATATGTCTCCTCCTCCTGGTCTTCGGCGACAGGGGGAGAATCTTGTGTGTCGCCTTCACAAGTCACTTTATGGTCTTAAGCAGGCTTCTCGCCAATGGTTTGCCAAATTCACTAGTGCCATCATTTCTACCGGTTTTCAACAATCCAAAGCTGACTATTCATTGTTCACTAAAAAGTCTGGTATTTCTTTCACAGCTTTGCTCATTTATGTGGATGATATTGTGATTACAGGCAATGATGCTAGTGCCATTAATTCTCTGAAGTCTTTTCTTCGTGATCATTTTCGGATAAAAGACCTTGGTGATTTAAAATATTTTTTGGGTATTGAGGTTTCTCGTTCCAAACAAGGGATTTATATTTCTCAACGCAAGTATGCATTAGAGATTCTCAAGGACTATGGTTTTTTGGGAGCACGACCCATTGCTTTTCCTATGGATGACACAAAATTATCTGATAAAGGAGAACTTCTCAAGGATCCTGAAAAGTATCGACGATTAGTAGGTCGGTTAATATATCTCACTATCACTCGGCCGGATATCACCTATTCTGTGCATGTTCTAAGCCGTTTTATGCACGAGCCAAGGATATCTCATATGGATGCTGCGCTTCGTATTGTTCGTTATTTGAAGGCTACTCCAGGTCAAGGTTTATTATTTCGTTCTGACAACCAGACCAAGTTAACTGCGTTTTGTGATTTCTGATTGGGCAGGTTGCCCTATCACTCGCCGTTCGACTACTGGGTATTGTGTATTCTTGGGCGGTTCTTT